CTATGCCGCTTCAAACTCGATATCTCTCTCGTTTCTTGATGAAATCTCGAAATTTCAATGACGTTTACTCCCTTACCCTTAGGAACGTCTCCACAAAATTTCAGCCGAAAACTCCAATTTATAAGCTGTTAACCATCTCTAAAATAAGAAAAACGTGATTTTGGGAAATGATTTCCCAAATCTCATTATTTCCAAATTAATTTTCTACTTTTGGCATAACTAGTCCCTTTTGTTTTTCTTTCTGCATTTTCATCCCAAATCAATTAAATACAAAATGTTTCATTTCCTTTTTTTTTATTGATTTTATTTATTGCAATAAAATCATTTTTTTCGAGTATCGACACTTTAATCCCGTATGTCATTTACTCTTTAAATTTTAACCCTTAACATTTATTTATTTTACGAATCAAAATTTTTTAGGGTGTTACAGTAATAACGCTTTGCAGAATCGAAAAAGAATAAAGTTTTTATTTTACGGTTATTTGAGCAGAATGACAGAAATACGTCATTTCTAAATTATAGAAATGTCAAATGAAATCCAAATTTCATATTTGTATACGTTAAAAACATAGATATCGTAAATGTCAAAAATATAAAATATGACTACATATATTTATAAAACTCAGAAAAAGGTAAAGTAATAGCATGCTTATAGATAGGTATTATCGAGTAGATCCTAAATATATGTTAAAACCAAGGTTTGAGATTACGAACAAAGTTATACTATATAAACACGACAGTATATATAATAAATAAAAGTTATTATATTTTTTATATATATGGATGCAAATGAAATCGTAGGCACGAAGTCATCAAACTGTGAAATACCGCCAATATTTACCGTCTCATCCGAATTCCCCGTCTCATGCTTCCGGTTTTTCTATAAATAGATAGATACGTTTTATTTTATAAAACACACATAAAATATCAAAGATAAATTAGAGAGTTACATCCATGGTAGATCTAGCATTACGGTTAAGCAATCAAGGTGAGTACGTTATGAGATTTACTTGGGATACATTAAGGGGTCGTTTACCAAAAACTTACCCGATAAGTACTTATCGGTAAAATCCAACACTATTATTTACTTATTGAGTAAGATTTTAGTCCACCGAAACAGTACCATATGCAACAATTTACACGATAAGCTTTTATCGTGGTAAGAGTCGTTGTCTTCACTTATTATTAGTTTTTACTTTGTCTAAATAATGTATTATTGTACAACGTTTCTAGCAATTACTCTGCTCAACATGTTGTTATAAAATATTTTATAGTTACTCTGTATGAAATAATATTTTGATAAAAACACGTGTTTTACATGTGGTGTATGAAAAGTTTTGTGCATATGAAAGTATGGTCATGTTAAATATCAGACAAGGTATATGAATGAAGGACGTGTTACAAACGGACCTCTGGAGGAAGATCATGTAACCCCAATACCTTTACCAATAGGCTATTGGCACTTTTGCTTAATTTATTGGCTCATTTTTCTTTTATTACTTTCCACGTGAACCCTTAAATTTTAAAGTTCATAGTCTTTTATGTCAACACCTATTTAGTTGGAACAAAAGTAGTCACGCCAACAATACATAACTTTATGTGGGTTTCTGTAGAAAATTAATAGGGAAAAGTCAAAAAAAAAAAATTCAATGGATTTTAGTGTTTGGAATGATTAAATCATTGGACAATTTTTTGGAACAAATAAGTCATTGGACATGTCAAAACCTATTAAATAACTCCTTGGACTTTCTAAAACTTGTTAAAATACATCTTTATGACTTTTAGAATTTGATCCAGGATTTCTGATTTAAGTTTCAATTTTTGGTTTGTATAACAAATTTGTGGTATGAATTTGTACATAATTGTGATTTATGTATGCGTTCTTGGTATTGATTTTGATGTTTATATGTTTTTGATGCATCACAATTCATGTGTTCTTCCCTGTATGTTCATGATCAATTCATATGTTTAGGTTTATGTTTGTAAAAGAAAAGAAATTAATTTGGTCTCGTCCTTAGATCTTGCTAACTATAAAAGAAAAGAAGTCAATTTGAGATTCGTTCTCAGATCTTGCCATGAACAGCAACGATTGAAATGCAAGTGATTTATGGTCGTAGGAGAGAGAAGATGATGAATAATTAATGAATATCTTAAAATAAATCTTAGTTAAAATAAATTACATATTTGGTCCCTATGGTCTGAAAAAATGATAAAATAAAGAAAATAATGTTGAAAAGACCAAATTACCCTCATAGTTAACGGACAAATTGGATGGCTGTTAGTGTAAGGGACCAAATACAAATTACATAGGTGGAGTGTTCTTTTGTAACAAATGAAGATAAATGACCAATTCTATAACAAATGACAAACCTCAAGGATCAAATCCATAATTTACTCTATTATAAACTATATTAATATATAATATAGAGTAAATTACATTTTTTTTAATTTTATATAACACATGCATATATATATATATATATATATATATATATATAGAGAGAGAGAGAGAGAGAATAATTTATTATTTATGTAATATTTTTGGATTGGGGTGGACTAAATGCACCCCTATGCATTACTTAATGCACCCCTATCCATAAATTTCTTCCTCACACACATCAACATTAATACATGCTTTTTACATTTTCAATGCTTGAATGACCTGATTCTGACATCAAAGGGGGTGCCATTAGCACTCCCCTTTTGGATTTTGTGTTTTTTCCAATATGGCAATTGGGGCAACATTAATAAAATAGTTGGACATGTTACAACTCACGTGTCCAATTTAGTTCGACATTTATTCTTTTTACTTCTTAAACTATTTTTAATTATGCAACATATATTTGAGAATCGGATGTATTGAAACTCTTTATTTTTTTAGACTACCATTACTTTATTATTAATGATTTTTTAAACTTATAATTATTCGATTGTAGGCATAAAGTGTGATAGGTACAAACCGTATAAACTGCAACACATTTTCTAGTGTGGTTTGGTATGGTTTGAGGGTTGTGCGGTGCGGTTTGGGAAAATGCTCAAACCGCATATACGTAAACCGGACCATGAACACCCTAAATATGTTTGGTTGACAGACATTGGAATGGAATATGTTAAAGGAATTGAAATATGTTTCTTTGGTTCACATTATGTAATTTTGAATTGGAATGAAATATTGATAAATGACCAAAATACTCTTTTTGAAACTAAAATACAACTACTGTGGTTCAGATCTGTGGTGGTTGAGATTAATGGTAGTCGACAGTGGTTTAGACTGATGGTGGTCGGCAATGGAAATTTGTTTTTTTATAATAAAATAAAATAGAATGGAATTGAATTAAATTTTTTCTCAATTGTGATGGAATAACCAACTCAACCATCTTCTATCCTGCAACTATTTACCCATTTATTTACAAATGTATATCGTTTTAAATAACAGAAATAATATTTTATAATAGATAGTAATGAACAAACATATTTAACATTCTTCAACATCTTAAAATGAAAAATACGACTTTTTCAAGATCTTATACTTGTGTAGAGGGAGGTGTAAGGAACTAAAAAAAATAGAACATGACAACTGTTCTTTACGGTTAGATCAAAAGAATAAATTGAGATTCAAGTCTATATAATTATTGATTTTGTTTTGATCTAAAAAATAAATTGATTCGAGAAACTCGAGGGACAACAATTAAAAAATTGGTGGTTACATGTATGTAAATAGTTAGTAATCTTTTTGGGGGTAAACCTAAATTTCATACACAACTACATATTACATGCTACATGTTACATGTATGTGCATAAATATGAAAAAGAGTGATGTTAGCTAAATTTCAATTATGAGGCGAGTAAAGGGGCCTGTCATACCGAACATTTACACCATCTTCTAAATAGAAACAAAACTCAAAATTTTATGGTAAAGTGGATTACAATATGAGTTATGTTGTTAAAATATTTATACTCTTTATGAAATACTATTTCTTTCTCTTAAACATTTAATTTTAAGTATTTTTATTCCTCTGTTTACTACTTTCTCTAATTTGAAGAATGTTTTGGAAAATCTGTTGCAGTAAAAATCTTCAATTTAGAGAATATATTGGAGATGTTGTTATGTTATTGAGTTTAGGAAAAGAAGAAATTAAATTTAGGAAGAAAAAAGAAGTGAAATGAAATAAACCTTTTTATTTGTGACTTAAAAGAAGACGGTTTTTTATGTTTCTTTAAATCGAATCGAATGAAAAAAAATGATATTATTTTTACAAAAATTACTCTTTTATATCTGTTTTTCTCAATTTTCTTTATGAACTTATTTTTGTCATAACTTATAAGAAAATCAAAAAATCCTATCATCATTCCTTTTTCTTCATTTCTTTCCGCATTTGGAAGAAATTTTTAAGAGCGCTCGATCAATAAGTTATTATGTACTCTTTTAAGAGTAGCTGCTTCTAGACAAAACTTCAATTTTTATCGATCAATTAAAACTGTCTTCCAAGATCTATAATTGCCTCAAAAGACCAATTGAGATTCTCAATTGATACAAGTGAATCAACTAAATTTATAAATGAAACAATGATACTTTCCCATCTATTCAATTCGTTTCCACCAGGTGGGTGCTCCATACAAAAATGAAAAAAAAAATTGAATTATATTTTCTAAACCCTAAATCTCGTATTTGCTGCAATCTTTTCTCATCGATGCACCGATACTCATTTACGGCTCTCGACAACCTATTTAATGATTTTGATCTCTTAATTCTTAACAAATTTAGTGTTTTTTAGATGATTCTAATATTCGAGTCTAAATTTGTTTTGGATGCTTGTAATTTTGTTTGATTTAGTCTTCTTCATTGTCATTAATGATGTTTTACTAAGTTTTCTAAGAAACCGGAAAACATTTAACCCAAACCTTATATAATTTGGATGGTTATTGCCTTTGGATCTTTTTTCATTCACTTACAACGACTTATTCAACTTTAAATATTTGAAACTTTACATCTCTGGTACTAAAACAAATGTATAAAATTACATTACCTAAAATATGAATCAATGTAAAAACAGTGTAAAGTTTGCTCAAATAGGAAACCAGATACAGGATGGAATGGAAGCACCGAGTTTACAAGATAACAATATCTATTTCCTGCGAACTCCATTTTAGAAGTCTATGATCACCAACACAAGATTTCAAAACCAACTTCTATTCGAAATTCACCAGGATAAAAAGCTCAAATCATTCAACACTTATTACACAAACATTGCTGTTCAAGATCAAACCAAAAAAGCTGGAAAAAAGTACCTCAAATGGGATCATCATCATCATCTTGATTTGATACTCTCCACAAATCCACTGCTAAGAAGCTTCTCCACATATTTCCCCAATATATCCACTTCCAAATTCACCTTCTGCCCAATTTTCTTCAATGGAATCACAATTTCTTTTTGTGTATACTCAACCAACATGAAATTAAAACACCCCTCTTGATCGAACACCTTCACCACCGTCAAACTAGCCCCATCCACCGCAATAAACCCCTTTGGTACGATGAATTTCAAAACCTCCGGCGACGTTTTCACCTTAACCCACAACGAATCTCCCTCCGGCACCAACGAAACTATCTCCCCTGTACCATCCACATGCCCCTGAACAAAATGCCCGCCCATTCTTGTCGAGGGTTTCACAGCTCGCTCCAAATTAACCACTGAACCCTGTTCCAATTCCATCAGTGAGGTCAGTCTTAAGGTCTCCGGGGCCACTCCGACTGTGAATTCCAATCGTTTGGGGTCGAATTCTGTGACGGTTAAACAAGTGCCATTTACGGCTATGCTGTCGCCGAGATTGACGTCTTGTAGGACGGTTGGTGAATGGATTGTCATGTCGAACGATCGGCCGGATTCGTCGAAACCCAGTTGCCGGACTTGTCCCATTTCTTCGACGATTCCAGTGAAGAGGGATTTGATTTGGGTTTGTTGGTGGGTGTGAAGGGTAAGTGGTTTTTGTGTGTGGGATCTGAAGATGAGAGACAGGGGGAGTTTAGGCTTGAGATATGCTGCAGAGGTTGATCTGAGAGAGTTTTGGGGTGTGTTGAGGTGATTTTGAACTGGGAATTTGGGGATGGGAGTTGATCTTTTGATGAGGGTTTTTGAGATTGAGATACCAGAGACGAATGAAACCGCCATTGTTGAAGGAGCTTCTTGGTGTATGAATCTTGTTAAGGCCTAAAACAAGCATCGACTATTTAGCCATTTTCCGGTAGATTTGTTTATTCTCTCCAACCAGAAATAAAAAGATCATATCAGGAACATGCAGTGTAGTTGGCATAATTTTTTAATTAATTAAACTAAAAAAATCCATTTTACATTCGTAATAAATGATTAAAATGAGCATTAAGATTTGATTATGCTAATTTTTATTGTAAAATATGAGACTAATCAAAATAATATTGGTTTATAAATCAATTTGTAAAATAAAAAACAATTGTCGCTTTGTAAACTTGGCAATTGGCATGGTGCATGCCACCTCCTTTGTAAACGTGGCATGGTTCCTGCTATTCTTCAACTTCAACACAGCTTGAGGCTAAAATGAATCTTGTTACTTACCCAACCATGCAACATATCAAAGATGCTAAGCAATCTATCAATAATTTAACTGGAACTAATATATAGAATGACTAAGGTGTCGTTTATCAAACGCATATTCGGGTAAGTATTTACCAACTCAATTTACTTTCCGGATGAATATGACAAGTACTAAGAATCCTACCTGGTAAGAACGAAGGCAAGAATCAAAAGTCTTACCGGGTAAGTGAAAATGGCGACTCTTATCATAGTTAGAGCTTACCGGAATAAATTGTTGCATACGATGCGTTTTAGTGAATAAAATCTTACCCGACAAGTAAACGATAGTGTTGAATTTTACCGATAAGTGTTTACCGGGTAATTGTTTATGTAAACGGCCCCTAAGTATCATCGATAAAATATGTATACAAATTTCCTCAAACTAATTGAAGTAGAGTAATTGACAAAAGCATAAATGAGAAAATAACATCGTTCAAAGTAGTGATGGCCAAATCGGTTCGGTTTTTGGCAGTTTCGTGGGACCGGGACCGGTTATGGACCGGCCCGGCCCAGCCCGAAAATTAAAATAATTTTATGAATAAATGTATTTTTAAATAATTTTATAATGTATTTTTTAAGACAACGTAATTTTAATTATATTAAAATGCATTTTTAAAGTGTATTTGACTGACCCGATTACAAATTTTATAATATATTAAAAATATATCATTAATTTTTTAATATCAGGACCCGTACCGCGACCTCATAACCGGTTATGATTCGCCTTGACCGGCCTTCACCTTTTCAACCGGGACTGGGACCGGTTATGACCGACTTCATGTTCACACATTGATGCACAACTTACCAAACCTCCACACACAATTTACCTCCGGTGACGACTTCCTCCCCTTACCGTTCATCTTCCCAAATCCCAAATCATACCCAAAAAACCAATCTATATTTAGCCCATGTACTTTGTAACCCATGTTATGTAAATTTAGCCCAATGAGCCCAAACTCCAACATAATCAATAACACAATTATCAATTCATGCATTTGAAATTGAATAAAGAAAAATTGGGTTTCATAGACACAAGTTTTTTCCTCTTCATATTCTTATGTTACGTTGGAGAGGATAAAAATATGATGTCCTCAAATTTTCTTTTGTCTCCGATTTTTCTATCCACCAATCATGTAAAGAGACTTCACAATGAAAATCGTAAATTTAGTGGGAGTCGAAAGGGTTCACATCCAAGCCAGAGATCATGAACGTTTACGCATGTAAAAACAAGTCCAAGCTTAAAGGATTGATACGACCATTTCTTTTTGTTTTGTTGAAAACCAATTATGATAGATTTGATGACAAAAATGTTGATACAACAAGGATAAGTGTCCCATCAATCAAATAGCAAACATATCATCACACACATATATAAAACATCCTTCAACCTTAATAAAAACAGGTAAGTCGTAGCATCTTAATTGTGATGCACTGTTGACGGAACAATTATTGATGTTGGGAATGACCAAAAGAGGAATGCAACCATTTTTCTAAATCTAAATCATCATGTGACTTCAACATGCGATGTTCGGAGTATTTCACACAATTTTTTGGATATTTTTTTTATGTGTGACATGTTATTGTATCGATCCTATGACATGGATGATTAATGGACAATTACGTTTGAATTCTATGGTCATCCACACTCTACTGGGCTAAATCACTTATTTTTTCTTCAATATGTCATTTAAAGATACATGTTACAAGATAAAACAATTCATATTTTCTTCAAAAATACTAGTATAATAATAATAATAATTGTGTAGTAACATTAGAAGCTACTATATAAAATTTTAAAGGCCAACTATTTCACATATGTAGTTGTCACATAAAATAATTTAGAAAATGATAAAGAATGAAAATGGTAATTAATTTTCATTCCCGTCAGTTTAACTAGAAATAAAATTTTGGGCTTCTTGAAGAAATGAGCTCATTATATTACAGAAAACCAAATAAGTTTTTTAATTTTTATTCTCATTGATTACTATTTAATACCTCTAACTAAACACCAAAATCTTATATCACGTTATTTTAATTGTATAGCCGACAACAAAAATAAAATATCAAAAACAATTTTGCAAATTGGAAAAACAAACTTCACTCTCCCATATTAATTAAAGTTGTAAACGAACAGAACGTTCAACGAACCGTTCGGCAGGAAGTTTGTTTATTTAACAAATAAACGGATATGAACAATTTTTTTTGTTAGTTTACTTAGATGAACGAACATGAATAAGAGTCTCGTTCATTCATTTACGTTCGTTTATATATTAAATTTAATATATAATCTTTTATTTATTTACTTTGAATTCAAATAATATTTATTTATGTTCGTTTAGCCCGTTTGTTTATGTTCGTTCATTTAGCATGTTAACAAACGAACATAAACGAATACGAACACACCTGATTTCTAAACGAACGAACACGATCACAAAAAATTTCGTTCGTTTACCATCACCTAATACAAGTTATTAGTATTTTGGAACTCATTGTTATGTCTAATGATAAAAACAATATATCGAAAGTCTTTTCGTACTTATCTAGGGCCCCTTTTTACATTTTGGCCATAGCCTATAAAATGTCAAAAACGGGCTTGAAGGTAAACCAATACCTAGTTGATACAAAATTAGGCTAACCCACATCTATTGGGTTCAAATTGAATTAGGGTTATTTTAACCCAACCTAACCCGATTAATCGATGCACTTTTATACTATACTATGAAAATATGATTTTTAAGTACTTGATTAACATATATACATTAGACATTCGATCAATCCATAATTAACTATATTCAAAATTATATTACAATATCAACCGTAATTTTATTTTTTTATTTGAATGAACCTTCAACTTTCTTTTTTGAATTTGTTAGTCTTTTTTATATATTATCATTTCGGTTTTATTTCATTTAAAAATAAACATTTGGCTACATTGTAAAATGATATACCAAAGTTTCAACCCGACCAATCTAACCCGCATGGTTTGGATTGGGTTGAGATTTTTCAAACCACAAATATTGGATTGGATTGTTCAAATGCCTTCAATTTGGTCAACCCAACTCATGTACAACCCTAAAGAAAAGTAATGAAAACAAAATGAGACAAAAAATAATCAAAAACATTAAAAGCATGGTCGTAATGCTATTGAGATTATACTTAAATCTGTTTGATTTGTAGGAATGAAATAGTTTTAAAGGATTATGATTTGAAATCCATTCTAATTTTATGTTTAGTTTGTTGGATTGTCCATATTTGCTATCTTATAAACATAATATTTTGAAATCCTTAAGAATGTTTGGGATTTCACGAAATTCCATAAGATTATATCCTAGCAAATATGTTATTTGTCTTCTCATTAACAAATCTATAAACAATTAATCATTTATGATACAAAAACCTTAAAAATCGAGTTTCACGAGGAATGGCTGAGAACGTGAATTGGGTGGTTCCTCTCTCTATTGTTGTTGTCCATTTGAAACTTGTGGAAACAGAAAGAAAGAAACGTGGACTCATCTTCTCCATACACGTGTACCACTATTATCTTTTGCCCTACTTCGCTCCAACCACATTTTAAATGTTTGGTCCTCAATCTTCCCACCTTCAATGCCCCACTCCACTCCTCTCACCCAAATCCATCATCAACTCAAAATATCTTCAAGTTCTTTCTAAACCATTATTCTTTACTTTTTTATATGTATTTCTATATATATATAACATCTCTGTTAATACGAAAACCTTTTTTCTCATTCATACAGATACAGTTTTGTGAAGAAGAGTATGAGGTTTAAGTAGAGTAGAATATAGAGATGGGGCCTACAATGGCGGACTTTTATTTGCCGCGTAAAATATCGGAAAGCAGAGTCCTCTTTCTATTACGCCGTATATATAGCAGTTATACCTGTTCCAATTTCCAACACCCCTCTTTCCCCATTTATTCCCTCTCTCTCTCTCTCTCTCTCAACAAAAATTCTCACTTCCAAAAAACCCCTCTTCACCCAATCGCTTCTACATCCTTGAAATTGGAGATCAGATCTGGATTTGTTCCTTTCACTATGAAGAAACCAGGCTTCTTAGCAGCCTCCATGGCCGCCGCTTCCGCCATCACTGGCACCAATCTCAAAAATCAACCTTCTCTCCAGGTAAAGAATTAGGAAAAACCTCTCTTACTTCAACTTCCGAGTTCCGATTGTAATTGATTCGTTGATATTTTGGTATAGGATCATGGATCATCGAGCAAACTCAATGAAGATTCGTCGCCGGAGAAGACAAACTGTTGCTCGGAGAAATTTGCGCCTCGGTTTGACGGATTGAGGTTTATAGAAACGCTGGTAACTGCTCATCGATGACAGGAAGCGTTTGGGAGGATTTGGTTTTCTTGTGGGTTAAGTTTGCATAGCATATCGATGTAGTGGTGGTGTGATTGGCTCCACAAAATAGCATTTAGCTGCTATTCTCAGTTTGCAAAGTACCAAACACTTAGAAACCATTCGATATCTTTTACTCCACTTTTTTAATTTTCATATTTTAATTAAACATGTAATCTAATAAAAATATTTGATTACTCATATCCTCTAAAATAAATCATACTGTTTGCTTAAAATAAAAGATAAAAGAATATTTTCTTGATGTTGTTTTTAGCTTTTAGAGCGTTACAAGGTTAACATATTCTAAATTTATGCTTTAAAATAAAATAAAGTTACGATAATTAGCAATCATAAATATGTGGTGAATTTTATTTTGTTAACATTATTTTTTGTTTCATCAAAATTATATTAGTTTTTTTATATTTTTATAGAATTTGTTGATCAACTGATCATTAATTTTGACGATATTCTCATTTATAGTTGATAATATTGCTTTAAAATAATATGATCCAAATTAGCTCATTTGATTTGGAGAGATAGAAACAATATATCCATTAAAACATTATTTGATTTAGCTTAGTTGACATAAGAGAAGACCATGTCAACATGTGATTCAAACTTTTGTCTGCCGCTTTTTCATCGTCACTCTCTCGTTTAAAAGTGAATCATATCATTTAATTGAAGATGAAATAGGTGACATCAGTAAAATTAATTTACTGACAAAGTGATCGGACAAAACATTCCATCGCTAGATATTTTTTCTTTCATTCGTTGGTAAAGTGCATGAGTTTCAATTACCGACCAATCAAGTTTCGACGGTTTTCTTTAGGTAATTTGTCGGTAACGATCATTAATGACAATAATTTTCATGGATGATACTTTTCTTTCTAGTGGTGTATGCACCGAACACATTTTCACCTTTATGGTGTATGCACCGAACACATTTTCTCTTTTCTGGTGTACACTTCACATATTGATTGAATCTAACTATTTTTTTAATTAATCTGGATACCCAATTTGTTATGCGAGCCGACTAATTACAGGGCGACCATCTGTTTTGTAGATTGTTCGGAGTTACCGCATTTGAACCTCCGTGGCCACAAGAGGATTTTTATTTCTTCTTGGATTTGAGCCTGAGACCTCTTGATACTTTTGATCTTTGAAGTCAAGCTCAAACCAATCAGATACCACTCTTGTGGTTAAAACCTAACTATTTTTTTGTACTATGAGTCAGATTCTACTTATTAATTCAAGATACATGCTTAATGGGTTATATGAATACTTTTTTTTAAAGTATATAATATTTATATACGACAAATGCAACAAATAAACTCACACACCCTCCTCACATTTGGTGAGGTTTGAACCCTTGACATCCTAGGAAGCCAAGGGCTATGATACCGCTAGGTCGAAGGCCCTTTGGTTATATGAATACCTTCTTTATGGTAAAATGATAAAAAATGACATATTGAAAAAATAGTCAATTACAAATATCTCGTAATATAATTCAAATAAATTTCTAACAATATAATTAAAACAAATTTCGAATGATATAATATGTTAATTAATATAAACAATATAGCAAAAAATATTATATATTGTAAAATTTGAATTTGTTAAAACAAAATTTAGAAAAAGTATATATTAATTAATGATCATAAATAACCATTACATATAATATGAACAACAATAAAATTGATTAATATTACATATCTTAATTAATTAATATTTTGTTTAAAATAATATTAATAATTTAATAAAATATTTTATTAAAATTATTTAATATTCTAATTATCTATAAAATAAAATAAATATAACTTTCAAAAAATAAAAGAATTTTATAATTCCAATCTATGTCTTAAATGCATGTTTTAGCAAGCAAATAGTCTAAGATTCTTGAATACAACAGCTATCATGGCAGTAGTAGTGTGCCTATTGTAAAGCAGGCAGAACCACCCTACTACATACTATTGGTCCATGGTGGGGTTGGTGTTATGAATCATCTACTAATCCCATTGTAATTTTAAGAAATCAGTCTGGATAAATTTAGTGGTTATAATTATTGTGGACGTTTAGAACTGAATCTTGAATCGATGAGATATTTCACCATATCCTCCAGGATCTCAACTACTACATCGCAATCCTTATGGTACAATTGCACCGGATAAGCACCTACCCAGTAAAATATTGGTAAACGGACCCTTACATAGTTACACTTGATGCTAATTGGACTTAATGGGCTACTTTGATCTCTGGGTCGGGATTGTTTCAAGAAAACGAAAGTGATATAGGCTTGGGATGTTGGAGAAGATAACACCTAGAGATGGCCAAGTTAGGCCCCCTAGGGGATTGGGAGCAGCTATGATCCGACGATCTGGGACTGGTTACACATATAAACAAGAGTGACTCCAATATCTATAAATTTGATTACAATTTATGGTATGTTTTTTCTTTGGTCGAGTGTTGATTCTAGAAGTACAAGATTGGTTAATATGTGTTGATGGCATAGAGTTTTACTCCAAAATCAAGAGGCTTAGAGTTACTTGTAGACCCCTTCTTTTGTGACTCCCTCAGTCTCATATATTTGCTCCCATTTCTTCATGCAAAGGACCTCATTACCAACCAAAACCATGTTGTGATGCCCTTGCAAAAATTGCCTGTCCTCACTTGGAAGAGATCAATGATCTCTCAAACACTTGTGCAATTGCTATGTTCGGAAACATTAACCACCACGGCCATTACCCTACCGGACTCAAGTATGACCTATCACTTTCAAAAATAACATCACTACTTAAATGGGACTGCAACATACCTACATGCTAGCTCCTACTGTAAATTATTGTTCATCCCCATTGTATATATATATAGGGGCTGGTTCAAATAGAAACCAACCATATGGTACAAACTATGTGAACTGATCTTGATCGTTCATTTTATCATCAAACGATTATTATTAAATGAAATTAAATAAACAATAATTTAATTAATGTATTAATTGATATGTGTATGAACAATTGTTTAAAGGGTAAATTGGTCAAACGGTCATTATTAAATGAGTATTAAAAAATAATCAATTAATCATTAAATTAATTGGGCTGCTTATGAACAATTGTTCACAGGGTATTTTGGTAATAAATCCTCACGCATCGTGAACCCGATATTCTCTAGCCGATTTGTAACCTACGATCGATTATGAACATATTCACAACTCATGTTCACATGTCGCCCCTATGCTCGTGTGAACAGCATCTGTGTCTTGCAATGTAAACACTATGTTCATATGTTCATATATGTTCACATGTCGGCCCTATGTTCGTGTGAACAACATCTGTGTCTTACAATGTAAACACTATGTTCATATGGTGTGATGTTTTTCAATGTCATACCGTATGACATCGTCACGGGTTCGTGTGAACAACGATTGTGTCTTTCAATGAAAACAAGTTGTTCATATGGTGAACATATATGAACATAGACTGCAAGAGATGCATAGATATAAACATTTTCAAAATCAAGGATCGTTGTGCATGTGTGCAGATATGAACATAGACTGCAAGCGTTTATCGTCTTCATTATTCTGACATTCTTTTACAATAGGATTCTCCATGTATCTTGAACGAAATGAAAATCTTGTACACTTGGACAACCAATTTCAATATATGTATAAAATCAATTGAAATGAATACCATGAACATGAAATAATAAAGAAATCATAAAAATCTCATGAACAATTAGATGTATCTTTTAAGATTTGTAACTCCCAATTAATTATTGGGGGTTACAAAAAGGTTGAATTACCAAATTACCCTTATCATTAATTTATAATTTAGATTTGAACCTGAAGTGAAGAAAGAATGTGATTGGTCAAGATCGGTTTCCATAGTTTATACCATATGATTGGTTTCTATTTGAACCAACCTATATATATATATATATATATATATATATATGCATATTACTCGTTATTTTTTGAGCCTTTTGAATCATTAATTAAAAAAAAAACAATATAGTTTATGCTGACAAAATACTATCGTATACACCTCAACTTCAACCTGTCCAATGGAATGTAGGATGCATTTTGCCATGAGGCAAAGCTTTATGGCTTTCTTGGCACATTCTTGTTGAATCTTGACCTGGGCAATTATAGTGTTTCCGCATTTTAGTTCAATGCCCAATCCCTTTTCTCTTTTACCAGATTTGTTGATTCGTCGATTACTAATTACGATTGCAAATCTTGTAATCCCTTCTCCTTAGTTCTCTAATTTGAAGATTGAACTCTCATACGCGGTTAGTCTCATTCATCTTTATTTTCCCGATAGCTAATTTTATGATTGAAGCACCAAGCACGACCCGTTTAATCTCACTCTTTATTGTTTTTTGTTTCTCTCATTCTTGTTTGACGAGCAACCTCACCTACATGTTGGTTGACTTCATCCATCGTGATATTAATTGTTCAGAATATTATAGCCCTTTAATAACACGCAAAAAAGTTGAGAGTTGAAAAAGAATTCAGCCCTAGACTCGAGCTTTGTCGGTTCTTGAGCATAAGGTAAACAACAACAGCTAGTATACGTCTATATGCTAATCTTTCAATTTAACGACTTATTAGAGAAAATTAATTATGAAGAACTTATTGAAGATTTAGTTTCGAAAAATGCTAGAAAGATTAAATAATTGTATTTAAGTGAATTTTATGTTACTTTGTCATTTTAATTTGTAATACTTTAAACATAATATATAGAGCAAATTATATGAAAATGTAATGTACTTTGATCTAATTCCTATTTTGAGAAACATATTTTTAAAATATTGATTTTGGTACTTGAAAAATGAAATCTCAAATATTTAGGTATCTCTTTCACCTAGTGACTTGAAAATGTTGATTTACATTAGGTTTTCCTGATATAATTTTAATTTTTTATTTTTTAAATTAAGGAAAAAAAAAATCCACAGTCACTTTGTTTTTTTGAACAAATATAATTTTTTTTAAATTAAACAAAAGTAATTCCATATCATAATTTTATTATAACTAAACAAAAACATTTAAAAAATGGTAAAAAAAAACCCTAAAACTAATCCAACCAAGTCGTGGCCTCCTTTTCATCTTCTTTCCGTACATCATCTTCTTCTTCTTCACATATGTTCCAATCCACCACCACCATTTGCTTCTAACTGCTTCAGATTCGGAGGAAGAAAAGAG